AATATTAAATATGAAACATTTGTGTGGACAGAGGAAAACCTTACCCTCATTTTGTGTCATTTAGTTGCTACTCTCCTTTTACACCATGATTGAATAGATTCACTTCTTTAAAGGACTAAAGTCAACAACTATTTCATATTTTTGATGTTGGCAGATAATAAATTAAAAAAAAATATGTTTCCCTTAATAACATCAAAAATCACTGCCAAACTTCACCTGACCTTTCCACTCAACGTCTTTTATGGTTCCCACTTGGAGGTAAGAACAGAGTGGGAGTTCATGGCCTCTTAAGTTACTGTCAAGGAAAAGCACAAAGAAGAGGAAGCTCCTGCTCAGCCTCTCCTTGGATCCATTAAAGGCACAGAAGAGTTCACAACTTTTTAATAGCTTAATATTTTCCTTTTTTCTACATAATTCTTTTAGTTGAGTTTTGTTAAAATAAAGAAAAATATTTTTCTTTAAATAATCTGAATAAGAACAAAAATATTTTTATTTATATGTTTTAGTTGTAGATGGACACAACACCTTTATTTTATTTATTTATTTTTATATGGTGCTGAGGATCAAACCCAGTTCCTCACAGGTGCTAGGCAAGTGCTCTACCACTGAGCTACAACTGCAGCCCCAGTATAAAAGTATTTTAAAGTGAAACTAATAATTGACAAACAGAACACATTATCTACCCAGGTACCTTTTAATAGAAGAGGAACAAGCATCTGGCTCTCCTTTGGGTTTTTATCCCAATTCATCTCATTGATACAGACATGCTTCTAGATTTCTACAGGCATCCACAGTGTAGGAATTCCAGAGTTGAGGTTCCATTTCCTCCTCCTCCTCCTCCTCCTCCTCCTCCTCCTCCTCCTCCTCCTCCTCCTCCTCTTCTTGGAACAATTGTGTAGTAGATCGCTATAAAGTGATAATGAACAAAGAAAGGGGATGAATTCAATGCGTAATCAATATCATATCTTGTTCCCTTTCAAATGGCAAGAGGATAAATTGGTGCACATAAGTTGTTCAGAAAACATTTGCTTAATAAATGTTCTCATATAATCACTTCATTTTATTTCATTCTTAAATAATTGTTTGGTTGTTTCTGATATATCTAACGTTTTAACTTTAAGATATGACAATTTTTTTTTCCTGGAAAATATTCAAAGTTTTGTCCAGTGAGGTCTTTATTTTTATTTTTTCAAGGTCTGTATTTGTCAACAGACTATCAGCCAATTTACCAGCAATATGCATTTACAAATAAGTAGCCACAAATCAAGCCTCATAGTAAGGTAGATATTACAAAAATGTGTTAACCATGGACAGACAATTATAAAGTTGCAGCTATAGTGTTTATTCCTTTGATGTAGTACAAGGGGAGAAGACATGTGTGATTTTTCTTATTAACAATTTTAATTAACTTTTAATTGATTTCTAAGAAGATAAATCGTTTCATTATAGCATCACATACTGAGCTGCTTGGCTAGATATTAAACATGGATGCAAAGTTCTTGACAGTGAGTGCTGCTGAAAATAAGGGATTCTGTGTTTAGTCATCTCGTCTAACATCTGTATACTCATATATAATAGCAAGTAAGTGAAAAAACCTTGCTTAGGTAGCCCATGCCACTTTACTTAAACTTTGTTTATTCTTCAATTAATCAAGAGATTTTTAAAAAAGACAGGGGAATAACTTTGCATTTTGCGAAATTTTAGTCCATTTGTCTTCATTAGCTGTATATTTGAGTAATCTTACAATTTTTAGAGTAAATTCCTGCAGAATATATAGTATTTTGTTCTATAAGAATCATATATACTTCCTTTCATGAATACCAGATGTCCAGTAAATTCATTGGTAATAGATCTGCTCAGTCTTCGTGTGTGTGTGTGTGTGTGTGTGTGTGTGTGTGTGTACATGACATATTACTTACATTTGAGCTAATTTAAGAGATTTAAAAAACATTTAAAAAGCCTGTTGTGAGGATGACCCATCTAACATTTGTTTTCAGTCTTCCTACCGATTGTCTGTTTGAATATTTTCTCTCAACAAATCATCTTATCAGAAAGTATAGGTTACTATATATTTGCAAGAAGTGTGATTAAAAATAAGGACTTTGAAATGATAACATTACCCTGGATTGTCAAGGTAAGCCTACTGAATCATGTAAGCCCAGTAAGTGCAATACTGAAGAACCAGTGACTGAAGTGACTGAAGTGACTGAAGAACCAGTCAGAGATGAGATGGAAGAAGAGCAATTCAAAAAATTCCAGAGAAATTGGCCACCACTGCTGCTCTTATAGATGAGGCAGTGTGCCAGGAGTCACAGGATGTGAATGGCAGCTAGAAGGATGGGATTGGTCCTCACATGTCAACCACCAAAAGAGTGGGGATTTCAGTCCTACAACCTCAAGCAATTGAGTTCTGTCCACAACTTGAGTGAGTAAGGAAATTAGTTTTCCCTTAGAGACTCCATAGAACATAGTCTTTCTTATACTTTGATTTTAACCAGGTAAGACCTATATTTAACTTACCTGCGGACCTTTAAAATAATGAACTTGTTTTGCAGAAGCTGATAAGCTGGTAATTTGTTATAGTATCTGATGCAGACTAGAAAACCAATATAGGAAAAAAAAAAAAAAAGAAAACCAATACAGGCAGTCCCTTAATGTATAATGGTTCAATTTATCTTTTTTTTTTTTTTTCCAATTTGGCCATAGTGCAAAAGCAATACATATTCAATAAAAACTGTCCATCAAATTTTTAATTTTGATCTCTTCCCAGGCTACCAATATGTTGTGCAATACCCTTTCAAGATGCTGGGCAGCAACAAGAGAGAAACAGCTCCCACTTAGTCATGCTTTCTTGAGTGTAAATAACCAATGCTCTACTGTGTACTGTGTTGCTAAGCTATGAAGTTCAGTAGGTTAGATGTATTAAACGCATTTTTTACTTACAACATTTTCAATTTACAATAGGTTGATCAGGATGTAATCCTATAGTAAGTCAAGTAAAATTTGTATAGATATATATTGGGAGTCCTAATGGAGATATCAGCTGGATATTTATAGAGGAACACATATACAACACTCTCCCCTCCAAATATACACCCACTCACACAGTCACACACACATACACACAAATCAGTCATAGTAGTTAAATTTAATATCTTATCAATAAACCTTCAATTATGTGAATGAATAAAAAATAACCCAAGCAAGTGTCATTTAAAATTACTGATTGCATAAATGACTGATTTTGTGACCTAAAGTGTCTCAGAGACAGAAAAATTACTGAAAATTGCAAGATTGTTAGAGTAATGAAGTAAAACCTACTTATATTACTAAAGCATTTATTTATCTTCAGTTATTTTGAAAAATAAAATAAAATTCACAGTTTTATTTTGGGAGTGGTACACACTGTTTTTTGTTTTTTCCGCAAAGATGGTCAGCTTGACTAGTTTGTCAATAATTTTTGTGACAAAGTTTAGACAAAATGTACAAATAGAAGAAAATGCATCTATAGAAACTCTTCTCTTTTTCATAGTATTTCTTTCCTCCTCCGGCAATACTATAATTCTTCTGCTGTCTTTTTTTCAGGATTAAGCCTCAAGAGAGGGTGACCTCCCGAGGGCACTTTTGTTTTGATGAGTCTAAGGGACAAACACTGTTGAAATGTCTGGTATTTTGACCTGTAGAAGAAGCACAGTTAAAAACACGTTTCACATATTGGACTTATCAATTCAAACTAGACTCAAGATTTGACAAAACTGTGCATCCCTCTCCATTGTTTATAAAGCTCAAAGTGGAACTGCATGTGTACTGCTAAAAAATTGGACATTACTATCCTATGTGCATATATGATTTACTCAGCCAATGTAATTCTATATCATGTACAACCAGAAAAATAAGAAGTTATACTTCATATATATATATATATGAATAAGAAGTTATACTTCATATATATATATATATATATACATTTCACCTCTTCCTAGATGCATCAAGTGTTTTTTGAAGAACAATAGCAAAGAATTGTTTAAAACAAAATGTTAAGTATTTGATAGTACAAAGTCATTGTTTAGAAAACAATTTATTGAATTAGACTAATTTTCATAATATTAGTTAGACTAATTTTCATAATATTCCTTTAGAATATTCACCTAAAATTTACTCATTGTTTTGATTCAACGTACCTTTCAGGACTTAAATATTTTCACTAGGTTTATTATAGTTCCAACAGCTCTCTATTATTATGGATATTTATATTCTAATATTAAAGTAGCCCCTTGCATTTATACTTTACAATTACTGGATTTTTATTCTCACTTGGGTTTTGAATGCATTTAGTTTCAAATCTCAGTTCCATACATTCATTTAACATAAATTCATTAATTTCACAAGTATTTATTAAGTAGTTTTATATATGAGACATTGTACTAAGAACTGGGACACTGAAGTATTTATTTCTTGTGTTACCCTAGGCAATACAATTAAATTCCATAAGCCACATTTTTCCATTTACAAAATGGGACCAATATTTACTCACTAAAAACATCAGGAGAATTAAATGAGGTAAAAACACATAGTGCTAAAACATATTTAAATATGAAAATGAATATAAAAATAATTTGAATGCAAACACACAGACACTTAAGTTATTACTCAGGAAATTGTTTTAATTAAAAAATAAATTTTTGTCTTACTTTGGCATTCAAAATCTATTAAAAATAATACATGAAACATTCAGTATTTTTATAATATGTATTTTCTGTCATAATATCTTATTGTAATGCTAATGATGTTATCAATGTGTAAGTTATGCTCATTTTGAATGAGTATGCTAACTAAATTATGTATATCCCTTTTCATGTTTTGGACTGTGCATTTCATCTTCATTATCTTTTAAATTTTCTCATTAGAGATAAAAAGAATATCTGATTAGGAAAATGCCATAATATGTCAGAACATACCAGAAGCTACTATGTGAATTCTTTGTTTTTGATTTCTTTTAGGCAACAGACCCTGATGCTGGAATAAATGGCCAAGTGCACTACAGTTTGGGTAACTTCAATAATCTTTTCCGCATCACATCCAATGGGAGCATTTACACCGCAGTGAAGCTTAACAGAGAAGTCAGGGACTACTATGAACTTGTTGTAGTGGCAACTGATGGAGCAGTACACCCTCGTCATTCTACTCTAACACTGGCCATCAAGGTTTTGGATATTGATGACAATAGTCCAGTGTTCACCAATTCAACATACACTGTTGTTGTGGAAGAGAATCTGCCAGCTGGGACCACCTTCCTTAAAATAGAGGTATATGGAAAAAGTATTAGTTTTATTAATTCTGAATTATTAGATTTGCAATTAGGGTTATGTATCCAAAATCAGCAGCAGCAAAAATACAATTAACCCACTTACATTTTAGTTTCACATAAAAATGAAGGAATTATATTATATATTATATATCAAATACTGTATTTTGCATTTTCTGTGACAACCTCTCATTGGGAGATCCCGCAGAATTAATGGGAAAAAAGGCAAATTTGTAAGAAAAAATATACTTTCTAACATATATTTTTTAATTTACAAAGTTAAGCTGTATATTTTTGTAACATTGGAAAACATCTCATAAAGAAAAAAATATAATATTACTTAAATATTCAATATTCAATTGTGTGTATTTTTCACATTAACCTTTGTTCTAGGACAAATATGCATGTGTGCAGGTATGTGCATATATGTATACACAGATATACATGTGTGCTTCTCCTGTATTTTGCAGATATTGTTACATCCATCATACTGTACATTCTTTTTCACTTTATGTGTACAACAAGCATCTTCTAAGGCTCTAACTTACTTTTTTAAAATTTCATCTCTATATCCAAATCTCTTTTAACACCTTCACTGTAACATTCCCAGAAACTGAATATTTTGGTTCAGTAGGTCAGATTGACCCCTTAATTGCATTTTTAGCAACCACTTAATTTATATAGGAGATCTATGAAGTGCATTTTGAAATATTGTAATCATTCATTCCTCCTGCTAAGAATAACTTGAATTTTGATAGAATGCTTTTCAAGAATCTGTATTTCTTCCATAATTCAACTCAACAAAGATTTAACTGTTCAATAAACATTAATGAATCTAATTAAGGCACATACTTAACAGATAGAAAACCATTATCTCTCTATTTTATCCTCCATGCATCTATTCAACCATCCTTTCATTCAACAAGCACATATCTTCAGTGTCTAATTGTATGCCAATTTCTCTTGAAGACATCAAGAATACAAGAATAAGTTAACAAGACAGAGTTCCTACTTTTCTGATATTTTCAGTCTGGTTTACTAAAAAGACAAATAGATTGGTAATTAAAATAGTGATTATTAAGACCAGTGGCTGACAAAATCAGAGGCGGAACTCCTAAACTATGCTTGAGCATCAAAAGAACATTTTCTCATGAAAGTTATTTCTAAATTGTCAACTCAGGAGCAAGTCAGAGTCTCTAAATAAAGAGAGAAAAAAAGATTATTTAAGATGATGGAAAAAAAAATCTTCTCAAAATCCTGGAGGACAGGGTGAAGTTTGAGGGGCTAAAGAACTAGAAAATGTGGTGGTCCATCTCATCATGTTAAGGGAATTGGCGCTCCTATAACTTGGATGTTGAATGCCCTCATAAGGCCCATATATCTTAAATTTGGTCCTTCATTTATGGCACTGTTGGGAAACTGTGGAATCTTTAGGAGGTGAAGCCTAGGGGGAGAAAGTTAGGTCACTGAGGATGTGCACTTAAAGGGGATATTGAGAAACCATCTCCTTTCTGTCTCACTTTGCTTCCTGGCTGCCATGAGGCAAATAGGCCTCTTCTGTCAGGAGTTACTGCTATAATGTACTGTGCTGCCATAGGCCCAAAGTAATAGAAATGTGACCCAGGACAGAAACCATATGAGTAAAAATAACTTTTCCCCCTTTATAAATTGATTTTCTCAGGTACTTTGTCACAGTAATCTAACTTTAAATAACACAGTGGTTAATGCAAATTGAAATGAATATTGAGAATTGTAGGTAGGAATATGACATGGTAATATCTGTGCTTTGACAATAACTTTATAGTTGTGATGCCAGTAATTAGAGGAAAACAAGACTGAAACTTACAAAGAAGGTGCTTGCATTAATGAATGTACATTCAACAAACTTGAACTATCCCGATTTTTGTTCTTGCTGTTTTATTTCCTCTAACTTAGGTGCTTTTCCCCGTCTATTCTACTGAATGAAATAGCTGTCCCACTTCAACAAAAATCCTATCTTCTCATCTAAATTCCAATTCTGAGTGCTTTTCAGATAACATTGTTTTTTTTTTTTTCCTTCTATTTGTGTACTTGTATAATTATTTCTTCTTTGAGGCCATAACCTAGAGTGCAGGATTTTGGGGTTGATTCATCTTGGCTTTTTCCATAGTACATTGTACCTAATATCCTATTTGCTTCATGGCAACCAGGAAGCAAAGTGAGACAGAAAGGGTATGGTTTCTCAATATCCCCTTTAACTATCCACTAGAGGATGGTTAGAGGAAAGAAGTTATAAAGGAATGATCTTCAGGAATGTATTATAGGATTTCAGTGAGAACAAATTTCTCCTTTTATGTCTTTCATTTTCTTACAGTGAGTGTTCTATTATGTTTATGAAAGTTACCCAATAATTACTTTTATTTATAATAGTTTCATGATTATTAAACCAGCAGAAAACAATGATTTATGACATGATTTATTTCTTTACTTTGCTATGATTCATTTAACAAGTGGTCTTCCAAATAAAGTAGATATAGTCTTAAAATCAATCATAAAACCCCATGGATAGATCTCTCTCTCTCTCTCTCTCTCTCTCTCTCTCTCTCTCTCTCTCTCTCCCTCTCCCAACTCTAACTCTTCCTTTCCCTCTCTCTCTCTGTCCCAACCTCTACCTCTTTCTTTCGCTGATAAATGATGAATTACTTAACAAATTACCTGCCTTTACAGACATGTCTTTTGGTCATCATTAAACTCTTGCTGTCCCAGACACTGACACATGACTATCATCAATTCTGCTTGCCTCTATTTTGGCAATACCACTGGTTAAACAAAACAAAACATTCTTTTACTTAACTTGTTACAGGCCAAAGATGTTGACCTTGGAGCAAATGTGTCATATCGGATAAGAAGCCCTGAAGTGAAGCACTTTTTTGCACTACATCCATTTACAGGAGAGCTATCCCTTTTGAGGAGTTTGGATTATGAGGCATTTCGAGACCAGGAAGCAAGTATCACTTTTCTGGTGGAGGCCTTTGATATTTATGGAACAATGCCTCCTGGTATTGCTACTGTCACAGTGATTATAAAGGTAAGGATTTTGGAGACTTCCAGTGGCCTACTTTCTCTCTACATGTAACTACTAACTCTTATATGATACCTATTATATTTTGGTCAGTAAACCATAGTAACCACAATGTTGCCAACCAAGCATATAGGCTGTATTTTTTTATGTAAAATATTAATGAAGACTTGATAAATTGCCGTGTTTTTTTTTAACCTTTGAAAGATAAATTTGAAAGAGGTACTAAATATGCATTAAAAGACTAGTTTCTGAGTCTGTATTAGTAGTATCACTTTAGTCAAATTCTAATCTAACTAGAAAACAGTTCAGTTCAAATTCCACAGCACCATGGATATTAACTTACTTCAGATTTTTTTCATTAAAAAATAAATTAAAAAGTGAAAAAAAATAGAGTCTGGATGTTTAAGTGTTCTTAGGTCCCAGAACTAATTACACTATTATTCGGAAATTCAAGAGTCTGGGATAAAGAAAGCTTCAGAGTCAGGTGAAATTGAGGTTTTAATTTGTTCTATTTTGGTATCTACAGTTACAGTCCATCAAGTTTTTAAGGTGATCTGTTTAGTAGAGTTTAATTATGATACATTACTAGGGATTTTGTATTCTTTACTTCTTACTAGCTCTAGAAATGTGCAAATACATTTTTTCTTACAATAAGAGAAAGTTAGTTTCTCAGGATGACTACAGTTCTTGAAGGGCAATTCCAGTAGAAGAGCATATGTATCTTGGTTCTAAGGTAAGCAGTCAATGGCAACTTTTCTATAATTCTCATTTTTATAGGGCACTATAATGTATATATGATGAAAAAAGAAGTCATTGCCTTCTTGGGCTTTTTAGAATTGATTTTTTAAAAAGAAGACATGCAATTAGTTAACTTAAAGAATAAAATATCGATATGAAAGCATAGAAGGTTTTATCAATACTGAATTATAACAACTGCATCACTCCTGTGGGTTAATGTCCTTGACCATAGCATCTGCATGTTTGAACTTCTTTTTATATTTCTTTTTTTTTTTTAGATGATTTCAGGATTATTCTAATAGAGTGGGATATAAGGATTAGGTCTTTCCTCTTTTCACTTTACCTAGGCTCATCTGCTGGCATGTACACTGACACCATTTCTTCCTAGAATTATTGCTGCCACTTCTAAACTAATCTAGAAAGGACACCATAAGCCACCTCCATTCTTACATACCCTTAAGCTGTCTGGAGAATTTCCTTTTTCTCGGGAGTTCACAGTATTATACTTATTTCTTCCACTTTGTATCTACTTACACTGAGAAATGTATCTATTTAAGGAGTAGGAAACATCAATTTCAGAGAGTTAAAATTTTACTTAGAACCAAGTTTTCTTTGGAAAAAGGGAATTCAAAATATCAAATCTTTCCTTGGACTGTCTGCTTTTCTTTTTGCACCTTTTTGCTATATGATGATTTTCCCTGCTCTAGGACTTTTCAAAAGAACCAAGGAACACCAAAAATCACAGGGAACCTAGAGCAGGGAAGGGATCAATTTGTATTTTGAAATGCTATTTTGTCACACTGTTGTGTGATAGAATCTAGAAATCTGCTTACAAAAAAATATCTAGGGAAATGGTGCTAACCATGGTGATGATTCATCACGATAGGCAAACAGATGGGAAAAAAAAAAATATGAGTGATGTAAACAGATCAGTGATACCAAAACAGCTTCTGAATCAGGTGAAAAAACAAAGGCTCTCTCACTCTAAATCATCCTTGTCTACCGAAATGTTTTGGTAGAATTGGACAATTAAAAAATCAAGAGTAGAAAAAATATTTACTTATTAATGATATGGAGCAAAGAAAAGAAAAGTTAGTGTTTACTGCCCTTTGGTTTCTCCCTAGAAGGAAATTCAAATGGCCTTGTCTTCTGTCTCAGAACAATGTTTGATAATGGCTAATTGTAAACATTCCTGGATTCTGAGTTGGCTACTCTAAATTCAGTTTGCATTCATTTGTTTGGATTATTATTATTAGTTTTTGATGGAAAAAATCAATGGAATCAACTGGATCCAAATATATCACCTACAAAGATAAGATGGTCATTATATAAGCCTTGTTTTCTCTGGAATTCAAGCCTCTTAATTTCTTCACGTTTCCAGGCACTCCTCCTTCACTTTATTTTAACATAAGGCTATCATTTGAGGTTTACTTCAGCCTCTGTGAAGGAGTGACTCACAGGGGGCTCATGTCTTCAGGGAAGAATGCTAGTTTGATTTTTATAGTGTCAGTTGTTTCATCTTAGAGAAATTGAACTATTCCAATCATCAGGATGATTGTAAAGATTCATGTAAAGATATTATTTATTGTACTTTTAAACAAAACAATCTATTTAATTATATGCATATTTAAAATAATATTTTTGTTTCTTTCCAAATGATTTAAGCAAAATAAAGTTTTCAGAATGTTTTTCCAATAGCAGATTGAAACTTGCTTACCTTTTCTCTGATAATTAAAGGTCACGTATAACAAACAGAAATTTAAAATTCTGTTATATACCAATGAATCCCATAAAAATGTTATCATTATTTAAGATAAAAATGAAGCACAGACTCATTTTTCCACAAATGCAGATTTTCCCCAAGCTTGTAAATTTTTTATTATTGGTCTGCACTGTCACCATTGTAAAAGGCTGTTTTGCTGATAACATAATAGGCATGGTTTTTTCTAAAGAGATATTTTTACCCAAAACAGTCACCATGGGGAAAGCATCCTGAAGATTTCTCTTTGAGCAGAGACATGATTTATTTTGTAAAGAAGAGGAAGAAAAGAAAAAGAAAAAGAAAAGATCAGGTGTTTAATGTGTAGCTCATCAAACATTTAAAATTGGAAAGAGATATTTGGGAGAAACTTGAAGAGATATGGGGGAATATTTGCACAGTAGAAATAAAATAAGTTTGTCACAAAAATCTACAAAAAATTTTCTTAGTGTCTAGTTTCAAGGATATAAAAGAAAATCAGTGTTGATCATATAAATAATACATATTTTGTTACTAAGTTTTTGTAGAACATTATTAGGCCTCTCTTTTGTATGTTTTTATTGAATGTCAATACCAACAGAATTGGGGATGATTACAAATTAGATAATACAGGAAAATTTCCGGAATATAAAAGCACAATTCTAAAAAATTTAAAAAGTAACATCCAATGTGAAATCTGGCCTTATAGAAGAAGTTGTCACATAAATCAGTTCTCACCATCTGAGTTGTAACATAATATAAAAATACAAAGGTTTGTTCTATGGCAAACTGAGAACTAAACACAAATCAGAACAATGTAATATGTAAATATATATGTGTATATATTATATATACATATATGTGCATATTTGACACTAGAGAGTATTAAAAGGGAAGTAAAGGACTTGTGGAAGAAAAATGAATTACCTCGATGAATAGAATGGTTGCATAGGAGTAGGACAGAGAGAGAGAATGGAGTTTGTGTGAAAGAAGATTGCATTCACCTTGGTTGAGTTTGTCTGTCTCATAGTATGCAGGTTTGATTGTAGGCAGGGATGAGTGAAAGGTTCAGAAATGAAATACCATACATGTTTTGGTGTGAATGTGAGATTCTCCCCAAAATTCACTTGTGAGACAATGAAAGAATGCTTAGAGGTGAGATGATTGGGTTATGAGATCCTTAAAACATCAGTGTATTAGTCCCCTGGTAGGGATTAACTGACTAGTAACTGAAGGCAAGTAGGGTGTGGCTGGCAGAAGTGGGTTATTGGAGGTGTGTCTTTGGGGTATATATTTTTTATCTGGCAAGTGGAGATCTCCTTCTCTGCTTTCTGATCATCATGTGAACTGCCTTCCTCTGCCACACTTTTCCACCTTGATGTTATGCCTCACCTTCAGCCCCAAGGAATAGAGCCCTGTCTATGGGCCAAGAACTGTGAAACTGTGAGCCCCTGAATGAATGTTTTTCCCCTAAAATTGTTCTTGTCATGTCTTTTAGTCATAGCAGCAAAAAAGCTGACTATAATGATATACAAGGCCTGAGGTTGTAAAATGCCGTGGATCTTGGAAGATAAAGTTAGCATTTTCATCTTTCAAAGGGATTTCTTCCTCCAGAAAGAAGAGGAATGTTTGTAGCCTGTAGCGTATAAGAATGTGGGTAGCTTTTCCAGGGAGAAACTGGATGTCATTACCAAGATGGAATTTACTAACCCACGAAATCCTAAGAGACAGTCAGAGTACCACTGATCCTCCATTTGCCACAGAGCTGGTACAGTCCTGGATTGGATGTGGTCCAAACAGCACAGCGTGAGAGAAGAAGAAGTAACACATAACTCAGATACTACAAAACATCTAAACATTTCAAGATTTACAGCATCCATACTTCCCTTCTCTATAGGGAAGAATTTGAATAAAAGATGATTACAATGTGCTAACTGGTAGAATATGGTCCAGTACATTGGTCATTATTATTAAAAACTTATTCACTGTTCTCTTGGGTTGTTTGACACGAGTACAATATATTTTTTAGTCTATGGCCTTCAAATATATCTTCTGTTTTATTCTACATGATCAGGTTCTTAGCCATGTGTTCTTTGTAATATATTCACCAACAAGTTTAACGAATGTCTTGGGACTGAATCAGTTTTCTTAAGACATCTTCCTGCTCTACCATTCTAGAATTTTAGTTCTAAGATGTAACATATTGCCTTTAAGGAAATAAACTAGAGGAAACAAATAAAAATGTGCATGACCAGAGTTCAAAAAAATAGCATCTCATAAACCTTAACAATTCTTGTATCTCTGGGTCTCTTTTATGGCTTCCTAAATGTCACCTGCTGGCTTCTGGGAGTCTTAAAAAAGTGCCTTCCTCATATACATGACAAAGTTCTTTTAACTTTCACTGATTATCACATTCTCTACAGATGTCAAGGCTCATGAATCCAAACTTACTATTGCCACAAGTCTCCAGAGTTTGACTGCCTTCCCAGGGACCAGGGGCAATGGATGCTGATAAGACTCATTGATAGCA